CTTGAAACAGCAGTTACAGAACTACAACAATGTAACTAAATAAGTCATTATGTCAGTCTACAGAATTAAAGAGAAAGTATAAGCACAAAAAACAAAGCAACTTAAACAACTTACATTGAAAGAAGTGTTTAATAAGGTAAACAAATAAATATTAAGTTTTTTTTTTTTTTTTTTTTTTTTTTTGTAAATTTTGATACCCTTTAGATCATAAATACTTCATTATTTCATAAATCACGATTTCATATTTTTAATTTTATAATTTCTACATGCCATCTTAGTAGATTTAAACTGATGATCTAACATCGAGAAAAATCTCAAATCCGGAATCGCCGGATTTCGGACTTTATACTGTACCGATGTAAAACTGTATCCAATTGTTGTTTCTTTTATTTTAATCCAGAGTCTCCAGAAAGTGAGTGTAGTTTACTTTCTTTCCCCACTTTAGAAGGAATTCGACAAACCTTTAATATTAGTTCCTTGCCGTACCAGGAATTGCAGGCTTGAAGATTTATGTTGCAGGCATCTTAAAAAAAAAAAGAAAATTCATTGCACCTTTCATCTCCTAAATTTAGCATTAAAAAAGGGTTAGTTTCTTTTGCCGGTAGGTATAGTTGAACACTTTGTTGATATTTGTTATTATTTTGAAAAGATTGCTAAAAGGAAGGAAAAATTAAAGCAATTCCAACAGCTGCATAATACTGAAATAAGAAAATACCTGAAATGTATGTACACACTGGTTACCTTTAGAGAAATATTTAGTTAGAATCGTCGACCGCTTCTTATATTTAAGATAAAAGGCTTTGTTGAAAGTTATAAAATACCTTAGGTAAATTGAGATTGCTTCCATTATTAAAAATAGGTGTGATAAAAATTAAGTAATTTGCACCTGCGAGCAATTTAATTTTCAAAATATAAGCCTAAATCTCTCCCAAAATTTAAAAAAAAAAAAAAAAAAAAAATTGCTTGACAAGGACACATTTTCCGATTATTGTAAGTTTATCTTGTGAAGAACAAATATTTATTTTTTTGTATTTGTACCAAAGCTTTTTGCTTTTTTGTACACTCCATTTTGCTATCATGAAATGCAATAAATTAATCACTTATTTTAATTAAGGTTCTGCTATTGCTTTCCTTCCTTCTGTAGCAATTTAATGGCCAGCTGTGTAAAAGATGATATTGCCTAAAATTGAAATTGTGCATTACAGGAAATTGCAATCCTACATAATATCTGTGTCCAATTTTTAAAGAAAATTTGTTTTCTTGTTATGCTTATGGTGGTTATGTGCTTGGTGTATATCCTTGAATTGACATGACTCCTTTTCCTTAAACACATAACCTTTATTCACACACACCATAACTTTAAACACAATTGAAATAACGAAACGAAATAACAAAATCTACTAAACTAAAATTCAAACATCCTATGCTCCAGCTAAGGGCGAAGTGAGCTAGTTCACTGCCGCGCTAGCAGTTTTTACATAAACCACATGACGTGGATTGGCTGCGCACGCAGTCGAAAATTAGATTGCCACATGCTGTTTCAACTAGAGTACTTAAGTAGTATATGTAAAAATCTTATTGCATATAATACTAATCAAGTGAAATAGAAACATTTGTACTTTAACCCTCAAGAATGAGAAAGGCGCGTTAGAAAACTAAATCCAAAATTGATAAAATTATTATGTTATTAAACAACTCGCAGGGGTTCAAGACTTTCAAAAATGACAGTTTTATATCAAAGAACGTCATACTTAAATCTCTTGTAGCGACTTGCCTACAACTCAACGCTGCCAGTCTGGTAACCCATAGCAACCAAAAACAAAATAATTTTTATTCTATACATATTATTATTATCCATATTCTATACATATTATTATTGCACATATTCTATACATATTACAATCAAAAGTCTTTAATCCAGACTCGTCGGGACTTCGGCGATTTCGGATTATAGATCATCAGTTTAAATCTGGTAAGATGGCCTGCATAAATTATAAAATTAAAAATATGAAACCATAATTTATGAAATAAAGAACAATTATGATCTAAAGGGTATCAAAATTTACCAAAAAAAAAAAAAAAAGCTTAATATTTATTTGTTTACTTTATTAAACATTTCTTTCAGTGTGAGTTGTTTAAGTTGCTTCGTTTTATGTGATAATACTTGTTCAGTTACAAAGTTCCGCTGTTCAAGTCCTATAATTGCTGTGTCGAGGATTCGGACTAATTTGTCAATCGAAATTTTTTCGTTAACCTCTCTGTCACTTTCTTCACTATCGGAAGCGAATTATAATGACGAGGAATTTGATTTAAATCATATCAAAGACGGAGTACATCGAGATGAAATACTACATTTAGTAAGGAATTATAGGCCAAATAAAATAAAAACATCTGCCCTGAAGATAAGGATAGTGCTGATAGATCAACTTCCAGTTCATTGCGCGCCGCGACGTCCCCCCCCCCGGCAGAGCAGCGTGAAATTGATAAACGGATTTCGGAATGGTTAGAGAAACAAAGGATATGCCTTTATCCATTTTTTGCATCAATTCCACTTTTTGTTTGATGAACATCGGAACATACTTTCGCTTTGAAGATCCTTTGGCAGCTCCAGCATCGGAAATTCTATTTGACATAATCGAAAGTTCAAGCTTACTTTTATAAAATTGCTCTAACAGTCTGCAAAAAATAATAAGCCGGATCCAATTCGAAGATTAAGGAACAATGCAATCTGCAACATTAACTGAAATAGATAATTAAATAATTTTAGCTTAGCTTATACCGTCCGTTATACATTAAACGCCTATGCGCATGCGTTAACGCATTATGCGTTGCTCAGAAAGTTTGTAGCTTTGAGGTCCGGATTAACGACTTTTGACTGTATTCTTGGGCAACCCCCCGGGGGTTGACTCAGGCGAATGCTTGGGAAGTACTGGTTAGGATCTGTACCTAGGCAGTCTATTTGACATAACGGGGGCATACTAACAGACTTCACAGAAGGCCTGAGGGCTCTCGGGACAGAGTAAGGCTCGGCAGGGACCGTCCTGGTACTGTCTTGTCTGCCTTTGCTCTGTGGGGTCGCAACATGGTAGATTGTTAAGAAGCGCGGGGTCGGCACCTAATTCCAAAAGGCCTTTTGCCAGGACGGGAACCCCCCCCCTGTCGTGTGAGTTGTATTATTGTGCATATTCTATACATATTATTTATTGTGCATATTTCATTGATCTAAAATGGTTGACAACGATGCTGCTTCACAATTGGCGCAAGTGGCAGTTAAGCTACCGCCTTTTTGTCGCCGAGACCCATCATTATGGTCTATTCAGTTGGATGCGCAGTTTAAATTGAATCACATTACTGCCGACGAAACTCAATTTTATACAGCGATCGCCGCATTAGAATCAGAGGTACAGCAATCAGCTCGTGAAATAATTTTGAATCCACCGGCGACGGACAAATACAAATTTAAAAAAAAAAATTAATTTCTGTTTATGATGAATCCGAAACAGTTAAAATAAAGCCGCTGTTGCGCGATTTACCGTTGGGTGATATGAGACCTTCTCAATTGCTGTCTAAAATGTCAGAACTTAGGGCCCGTTTCCACTGCTGCGTATGCATTGCGATGCGTATACGTTTCTCCAATCAGCGAGCGAATTCACTTTGATTTACATCTGCAATCCGGTCGATGTGCGGTGACGGATGACGTACGGATGGAGTTCAACAATGTTCAAATTCTTATCCGTATGTCTGCGGATGCTTTGGGGTCACGTGGTAAAAAAGGAGCAATCAGGTGTAGTCACCAAAAATTAATGGCGGCAGAAGTAGCGATGAACGCTCGTTTAGGGAAAGAATGTTTTGCTAAAAAAATACTTATTTCTGATTAACATTATAGCAAGAAATCTGCGTGCTAAAAAAGTCAGCAACCAGCTGAATTTAGTTAAAAAATTATAAGAAAAATAAGATAACTGCAACTACAGTACTTGTTCGAAGATAAAATCAACGACAAAAATTATAATTTCATGTCCATGAAATAGCAAAATTTGTCCTGACAATTATTTCCTACTTCTGCATACACATTTACCTTTAATGAAAATGAATGTCTGACTATATCAAACTGCTATAGCAAATCAGATATAGCATTAAAAGTTTTGTTATTTTTTTCTTTTGAAACAGGTAAAAACTAAAAACGTTAATTATAAATTAAATTTGATAGTCTTTTAAATATTCCACTGCATTAAAGAGCATGTTAAATTTGTATTTCTCTATTTATAAATATATCTTTTTGGCTAACATATATTTGTAAGCACATGAAATATATTTTTAGCAGCATCGGAACGCCACTTTAAAAGATAATGTTTTTTGTAAAAAATGTACTAGAAGCTGAAGAACAAACTCTGGTGAATTTTTTAGAGGATACCACACTGAAATAGGACCAAAAAATTTAGTTTTTAGAATTAATTCATCTAATGTACGAGGGCTATTTTTTTTCAACCTCCGATGGGCTATAAAGAAAAGACGGGTGAATATACAAAAAAGATTTTATTACCAAACGTAATGTACAATACAGGTTATTTCTCTACATAATCACCTTGACGATTGAGGCATTTGTCATATCTGTGAACAAGGTTTGAAATACCCTATTCATAAAATGTTCCCGCTAATGATTGGAAGTAAGTTGTGACGGTTTCTTTCAGCTCCACGTCATTTTGGAAGCGCTTCCAGCCAAGCTACTGCTTCAGTTCAGGGAATAGATGAAAGTCACTCAGCGCTAGGTCGGGACTATATGGTGGATGTTCGAAAATGTCCCATTGACATTACTGAAGGAGCCGTTGGGTTACACGAGCGCTGTGAGGACGGGCATTGTTGTGGATCAGAACAATTCCAGAAGTCAGCATGCCTCTTCATTTGTTTTGAATAGCTCTCCGTAAGCGTCGCAAAGTTTCACAATATGAATCTGCATTAATTGTTGTTCCAGGCTGCATAAACTCCATAAGCAACATACCTTTTTAGTCCCACAAAACAGTTGCCATAACCTTACGGTTGTTAAAGGTTCGTTTGAATTTTGTGGGTCTCTTTGGAGAATTTGTGTGCATCCATAGTTGTGATTGTCGTTTCGTTTCGGTCGTGTCATATTGAACCCATGTCTCATCGCCTGTCACAATGGATTTCAAAAACTCTTCTCGTTCAGAATTGTAACGGTCAAGAAACTCAAACGCTGCAACCATTCGGTGAGTTTTGTGGTCGTCAGTCAACATCTGTGGGACCCACCGAGCGCAAACTTTTCTGTAGCGCAACTGTTCAGTAACGATAGAGTACAAGGAAGACCTTGAAACTTCCGGAAATTTCATCGATAATTCACTTATGGTGAACCTTCGATTTTGCTTAACCGCTTGGTCAACTCGTTGAACAATGTCGTCCGTAGCGACAGACTTGCGTCCTTGACCCCCTTCATCATGCACATCAGTTCGGACATCTTTAAACTTTCGACACCATTCACGAACAACGCAATCACTCATATAAAGCTGTTTCCATACACTCATTCTTCGATGAATTTCCGCTGCACTTCTGCCTGCAGGAAACGAATAACAGCTCGAAATTCACACTTGGCGCGAGAATCAATAGCGACAGCCATGTTTACGTGACTGCAACTCAACAGAAAATGGCGTGTTGAATACGCCCAGTGACAGAGCGTGTGGAGGGGGAGATGCGCAGTCGCCTACTACGCACACCAACCACCTGCCGCATACCTGGCCAACATAGTGTGCGATCGGAGGTTGAAAAAAAAAAAACCTACGTATATAAGCTAAAATCATGGACCTTATAAGAAATAGACTAACCCAGTGGGCAGGGCGCGCGTCACCGACATGTCGGCAATAAAGAGTAGGGACGATCTGGTCTACTTTAACACTAAAACCTATGGCGTTTGTATCACATAACTCTTTTTAATTATTAAATGTGATACGTTGTATAGTGATGATATTATGAAAGCCACAGTTTTTTCCAAATAGGATTTAACATACATCATTAAAGCACTTTTTACCGCAATTCGCGCATTTTTTTTTTTTTTTTTTTTTTCCACGCGTAATTTTTGTACAAACATCTTTACTTTGGTAAAACGGTAAAAAATCTAAGCACAAAATTTATGATTTTAATTTTGCGTAAAAATAAAGTAAAGTTAAATAAGATTGATAGTACGCGATGCTTTGAAATAAATAAGGTAAAATTAAACAAGATCTGATAATTTTTTTTTAATTTAATGAACATTTTCATTAAAGTGAATTAGTTATTTTAATAATTCATAAAATTCGGAGCATAAAATTTTCGGTGCGTAATGAAGGAAAAAAAAAAGATAAAATAAAATCTAGAAGCACTCTTTTTTTAAAGTTTTGTGTGTTACCTATATTTATTGAATATCATGTTCTTCGCCCGTAAACCACATACATTTGAAAACAGCATATCTTTAGAATTTCCGCACTGGAGATAAAACTGTTATTTTCTGTATAGCGCTTGCTCTGAACTCGTTAATCAAAAATTTGTTAATCAAAAATTCGTTAAAGTTTTACAAAATATGAAATAGATTAAAACAAATTCGAAATTCGGCCATCCAGATGCCTATCTTCGGGTGGAGGATTACATTATTCAAAATTTGATGGTTCTAGATACTTATTTTCCTTTCCCCACAGTGCGAGAAACATACATGTATTCATGCAGATTCTTCATTATTTAATTTCTTTACATATAATACAGGGCGATAATATTTGGTAACAACAATATAAAAGGAGACACGGACATTTATAGTAAAACAGCGCAAAATGCCGCTTCAAAACTAACAGCCTTTCTAGGCTACCGCCCCTTTGGGCTAATAAATTAAATTAACAGTAAATAAAAAAAAATCTTATG